CCACGATGGGGGCGAGTTCCTTGCTGCACATATTTACATGTAGCGATATCGTGCGTTATCTCATTTTTCCCCCCCGCTGCAACATCAGACCGACAATTACCAAGATACACAAAACAACATGACACAAACGGCATTGGACACCGGCGGAAAACATATGGGGCCGGCAGCGCGGAAAACCTCCGGTTCTCCGCACCTCTGGCTTCAATTGAGCTTCGACTTCGTGGGTTAGTGCGGAATGTAACCGTGCGGGACTATATATTTTTCGGGACAGGCTCCCTTTGGTGGGCTGAAACGCTTGTAACCACTTTGATGCTGGGAAAAAAACATCGGTGTCCTAGATTGTATTATTTATGATTTTAAGATCGATTGTGAGAGATCGATACTGAAATCGATCGTGAGGACGATTGTAAGGTCGATCGCAGTGAGATCGATTGCGAGATCGCTCATGCGATCTCGAATCAGATCGATTGTGAAAACGATCGTGAGATCGATTGTGAAATTGATGGTAAGATTGATAGACAGATGGAAACCGATAATGAGACCGATCGATAATAAGATCGACCAGGAACCCGAGAACCGAGCGAACGTGATCTTTACTAGGGAAAATGCTCCCCCTCTTCCTCCGGAACCCGAGGGTTCCCCCCTTCCCTCCCCTCCGAAAATCTCTTCCCGGCAAAACCCCCGCCCTCCCTGACCCTCTCCCCCTCGGTTTTCAATACAGGTTCAAACCGCTCCGCCGCCCTCCCGCCACCAGAAAACCGAGGGGGGGGGATCACTACAGTTTCGAACCCCTCCCCCCCCCTCCCCCGGAAAATGGGGGGGATCACTCTTGGTTCGAACCCCTCCTTCCCTCCTCCTCGAAAACCGGGAGGGGCCACTACCGGTTCGAAACTCTCTCTCCCGGTCCCCTGGAAAACTGGCGGGGGTCACTAATTACCGGTTCAAACTCCCCCCCTTCGAAAACTGGGGGGGGTCACTACCGGTTCGAACCCCACCCCCCCCGCCTCGAAAACTGGGAGGGGTCACTGCCGGTTCGAAGCCCCCTCTCCCGCCCCCCCTTCGAAAACCGGGGGGGGTCACTACCAGTTCGAACCCCGCCCCCCCCTCCCCTCGAAAACCGGGGGGGTCACTACCGGTTCGAACCCCTCCCCCCCTCCCCGCGCTCACCGCCAGCAAACAACTCTGGGTCCATACCGCCGTCCGCGCCACATCCCCCACTGCTCACCACTGTCCCCACTGTTCCGTCCCCGCTGTCCTTACCAATGCCCCCACCAATGTTTCACTGTCCCCACTGTCCCCGCCACTGTTCTCACCAGGGTCCCGCTCTCCCCACTTTCCCCACGGTCCCCACCACTGTCCCACTGTTCCCACCACTGTCCCACTGTCCCCGCCGCTGTTCCACTATGCTGTCCCACCGTCCCCACTGTTCCGATCACCGTCCCACTGTGCCCACCACTTGCCCCACTATACTACTGTCCCACCACTGTTCTCACCACCGCCTCGACCACTGTTCCCACCACTACCGTCCCCACCACTGTCCTACTGTCCCCACCACTGTCCCGCTGCGCCCTCGCCACTGCCTCCACCACCACCGTCCCCACCACTACCCGCACCACTGTCGCATTGTCCCGCACCACTGCCCCCACCACCACGTTCCCACCACTGCCCCAACATCCTCACAATTGTCCAACTGTCCCCAGGAGCGGGAATCGCTTGCCAGCGGCGAGGAGGAAGGGGGGTGGGAGGGATTGAAACCGGTAGAGATCCCCCACGATTTTCGAGGGGGGGGGAGGGGTTCGAACCGGGAATGACCCCCCCTGGTTTTCGACAGGGGGGGTTCGAACCAGTAGTGACCCTCCTCGGTTTTCGAAGGGGGGGGCGGGTTAACCCTCCCCGGTTGTCCGCCAACAATGGTAGAACACGCTCTTTCGGAGAACCCGGGAATAAACCTCGCTCCCGGAACCCGGAACCGTGAACCCGGCAACCCAACGTACGAGCAAAATCGGCATTTCCGCGAGGGCCCTTTCAGTGTAACGGTTGAGGAAACGATGCGTAGAAAACAAATACGCAAACATGGAACATACTTGAATTCGTAGAAAACGTCTTGGGTCTTTGTCGGTATATGAATTTGGTGATCGATCCGGGCCGATTCATTCGTTTTTGCCATATGACGAAACACCGCCTTGCAACCAAATGCCACAATGTATGAAAATACGGTAAATCAAACAAAAATCATAACCGATACTGCTGACACACATGAACGAGGCCGCGGGAAAACGAACTAACAAACTGAAACGGCTGCGACACTAAAAAACCGTGCGACCGCAAACAACAACAAAACCGACACTGTTGAACAAACAATGCGGTAACGGGACGGAATTCAAACAAACTTAAAACGGACAGCAGTAGAAACAACGATGCCACGAAACAAGGATCACAAACGACTGTACACAGCAAGGCTTGAGTGCACTAACTACAGCAGCCGCGTGCACCACAACGCCTGTGTACACCTGCTTGCACTTCTAACGCCTGCGTACACCACAGCGATCACATGCACCGCAACGCCTCTGTAGACCACAAGGCGCGTACGCTTCACAACGTCTGTGTACACCAGAATACCTGGCGATTGTTTCTGGATGGCCTTGTGGGCGCACAGGAACTGTAAGCAAAAACATCGAGGTCGATCCACGTCTTGGGAAAACGAGCGAAAAAAACGCAAACTGGGGAACCGTACAACAAATATCAAATCAGTAAAATCCCCAAATCGCAAGCGTATTTGGAGCCAAGGCCGGTACGCAAAAACATGGCAAACACGACCAATCAACCATAACCGTGAACTTTGGGAAGACGACGTTCTCGGGAAACACACGGCACAACAATCGAAACTGTAACCGGGAACAACCAACACCCAATAACGATAAATCATCGATAGCAATTTGAAAACTACGGGACTCTACGGAAACACCAAGAACAACAAACCTGCCAACGAAACTTTACTTCTCTGGGAGAACAATCAGACCTTAAAACACAGACCGCTGAGAGAGAGAGAGAGAGAACGAGAGAAACAAAGAGAGAAACAAAGACAAAGAGAGAGATAACCAAAGTCACGGAATACTCAAAGACGGGCAGCGAGGAAGCGAAACCAACGCGAAAACTACAAGGCTGAAATACAACGATGTGAATCCAATTCGCCACCGATGGTGCACAAGGTCAGTAGGGCGGGGCGCCACTAAGGCACAGGAAGCCATAGAAGTCGTACCAATCACCGGCAAGTGCGGTACAGAAGGCCAATGGGGCAGGAGGCCATGAAAATCTCACCAGCCATCAGACATGTGGCATACATGGCCAGTTTGGCAGGACGTCATATGCGGGGCAACGATGGGGGGGGACTGGCATAGGGGGGGATGTATCGACCTGGAATCGGCGATACATCGCCGATAGATCGGCGATAGGAACCCGACAGTGAATCCGCACGTTCCTGGGGCCCAGGGACACACAACAAAAAAACACAAATCCCAGGACTCCCAATCTTTTCCTATACCTTCTGGGTTTTTTCGCCCCCCCCCACTTCCTAAAGTTTCCTATCTTTTCCTGGGGGTCGACGATTCATTGTGTCTGTGTGTTCTTTCCCCCTCCTGATAGAGGCTTCCTAGATGGGGTCAGAGGATCGCGCCGCATCGGCGATACATCGGCGCTGCATCGGCGATGCATCGGCGACGTCGGCTATGCATCGGCGACGACCGCGCGAAGAACATCGGGCTCCGAGCCGCATCGGCGATGCATCGGCGATGCGGCGCGATCCTCCGACCCCATTTACTCCGACCCTACCTAAGAGGCCTGGACCCGATCAGTGCAGGACAGGGGCATGCAGAGCCGGCGGGGCTGGAACCCGCAGACCAGCGCGGGCCACCCCGGGAGTCACGGCCGCCACCCGAGGAGCGCGGCGGCGCACAGGGGGCCCGCGGGCGGGCGGGGCGTCTTTGGGAGGCCAGGCGGCCACCCACAGGCTCTTGCCATCGCTCGGATGGCCGCTCTCCGTGCATGCTTCGGTCTCGGTCTCGTGAGTGCTCGTTATGCCAGGAAGATCCAAGACGCTCCTCGGAGGTCCTCGCCCAGCGCACGTCCGAACGATAGCAAGAAACAGTGACCCACAAAAGTTCGGAACACAGGGGCGGTGGGGCCTAGAAGGGCTGCACAAAATGCCCGCTGGGCTGGGATCCGCAAGAGTCATAGCAGCCACCAGAAAAAATCGCACACTGGTGACGTCTAAAACCCGGATAACTAGCAGAACAGTCCAAGCCGCGCGAAAGCTGGTGGAAGACTCTTGCAGTGACGCCTGAAAGGATGTCCGTGGAGCTTGCGAGGACGAGAAAAAGGCGCTTCGAAGGAGATTCGGGCTTCGAGCACGAGTTTGGAATCGCTTCGCAGGAGCTGCGCGAAGGCTTCGGGCACGCGTATTGGGCAAGGAACGGGAACACGCTTCCGGGACACGCAATGAACTCAAACAACCCGCTGCGGCACTGCCTGCCGAGGAACTGGGTGAGGAAACTTGCCTGTGCTGCCGGCTTCTACTCTGAAACCCCTGCAGCTCTCAAAGGAGCTAGCCGGGGACAAACCTAGTTGGGCAGGACGCCATATGAATCCACGCAGCTGGCCAAATGTGCGGCACACGTAGCCAGTGGGACGGGGAGCCATATGGAGTGCGGGAATTCCCAGATTCTTAGCAACCGCCGAGAAGTGCGGCATACAAGTCCACTGGGGTTGAATCCATGAGAATCCAAACAATCACCTAAAAATGCTTTGCACAATAGCAATGGGGTGGGATGTATGGGATTCCAAGCAATCGATGGCAACTCTGGCACACATCTCGAAATCCTCATCGTAGAAACTAAGGGACTTAATGAACACTGTTTGGATAACGATCCGTAATCAAGCGGGTAACAATGAATGGAATGCAAACGCTCATGAGGCGATAACATGGCAACAACGAGAAACGTCGATTTTCGCCTCTCGCACGCAGGGCACCCTCTTATGCTGGTTCTGCTCTACAGCGAAAGCCACGAGAATTGAAGGCGCCATGGCGGGATCAACAAGCGAGAGGCACTAGCGGCGTGTCAAACAGCTGTGGAATGATTCGGTCATTGCGCAGGCTTCGTGCGCACCCCTCGTGCGCAGTGCGCACTGCATCTACAAGCCGCCACCTACCTGTACTGTACTGCTATCTCCAAGAATCATGAACACCCACATAGAATTAAGGACACATCCGTTTACACACAATTGATAAGAACTTTGGCTATGTATAATCTAAGCCCACGTTCCCGTTGACCCCCTATATTGCAAAATCGCACTAATTCTCCACACAACTACATGGACACTGTGATTTTATTATGATGCAACCGTCAACCACTTGCGAAACAGAAGCGGAGTACGCATGAATGTTACTTGTACTGTGCATATTCATTCGACATGCCACCGCAACAACGCACTTGATATCGCTTTAGCGTACGTGAACGTCTTGTACGGCTTAGAATTACCGGTGTAACGACATGGGTCCAGAGGCGCTCAGTATTTTTCAGACGTGAAGCGCGCACTTTCGCTAGACATCGCGCCACTGCTGTCATACCTGGCCATCACGTCACAACACACTGGCTATATGGTGGTGGCGAGAACAACTGTGAAGTACCTACGAAGGAGCTGGTGGGAAGACAACGCGTGGTCGTGGAGTGGGCGCGATGCCCACTCACTTTTTTTGGTCGGCGGCGAGGCAGGAGTGGCTGCACCAGCGATAGAGCTGAATTAGGGCACCGAGGAGCGCATTTCCCAGCGTGCAGGAGTGGGCCCACTCACATACACGAGGAAACAGCGGCGACATGAGGTGCGGAACTGGTCCCTGCTGGATCTGCCCCCCCCCCCCCCCCTCCCCGGGCCTGGAGGGAGTGGTCGGGTCGCGACCTATTGGGGCGTCCAAGATGACCCAAGATGGTCCCAAGGGGGCCTACGAGAGCACCAAATAACAGTAACTATTGCCCAACATAGCGCAACGTCGCTCAATCTGGCTTCCAACATGCTCCGGGAAACCCGAGACCGCTCCAGTACGGGTGCAAGTGGCAAGAAGCCTCCCAATCGGCCCAACTCCTTCAAAAAACCTAGCGAGACGCAATGCGGTTTTCCCTCTCGCCGTTTTGCATCCGATGAGCTCTTGAGGTCTCGAGGTGGCTTAAAGGTGGCCCAAGAGGGCCCACGAGGTCTCCAATACACCCTCCCAAAACGACCGACAACGTCCCACGGCATGACTTCTGGGGTACGTGAGGGGGGGGGTAATCAAGTGTTCCCTCCCCTTCGTTCTAACCAACCGCTGTTTAAACACAATGGGTTATGTTGAAAGGGTTTGGCATGTCGGGGGCGTCCCTGGGAAGCCTTTTGGGCCAACATAACCCCAACATGTCCTCAGACAACCCACGATGACCTCGAAAATTGCTCGCAATATGCAAAGACGGCTTAAGATGACCACCGCTATGCCCCCAAGGAACCCCAAGACCGCTCCGAGACGGCTCAAAGTGGCCACTGAACTCCCCAAGGGAGCTCCCAAGAGGCCAAACCCTTCCAACACCAATGGAAATCAACTGAGGTGTGCCTTCTTGCATTTTCGCTTGAGCTTTCAAGCCTCACGATGGCTCCGAGATGGCTCCAAGATGGCCAAAGAGGGCAAATGAGTCAATATGCACCCAAAATGCATAGAGGGGGCCAAAAAAGCCTGGCGGCTTTTTTGGCACCCTCCCTATGCATTTATTTGTAAGGGGAATTCCTTGGAGAATTCCTTAGTAATCCATCACAAAGGCAATTCGTTTGTATTCTGCCACAAAAGAAAATCCTTTTGCATTCCGTTACCAAAGATTCTATTTGTATTCCACTACGAAAAGAAATCCTTTGTATTCCACCACAAAAGGAATTCCTTTGTATTCCGCTACAAAAGGAATGCTATTGTAATTCGTATAGGTATTGAAACATTGTGTTTTCACAGAGATTCAGAGAATTTTAAAGAAAACAATAAAAAAAACAATTGGTTTTATCTGTGTTTTCACAGAGATTCAAAGATTTTTAATAAAAACATTGTTTTTTCATTGCCAGGCACAGAGATCTCAGAGATTTTAATGATTTTCCAACTATGGAAGATAGTTTTTTATGAAATCTCTGTGAAAACACAAGGTTTTCTTTGGTTTTCTATTCAAAAATCAAAGGAAACCTTGTGTTTTCACAGAGATTTCATAACAACTATCCTCCATAGTTGGAAAATCATTAAAATCTCTGAGATCTCTGTGCCTGGCAATGAAAAACAATATTTTCAATGAAAAATATCTGAATCTCTGTGAAAACACAGATGAAACCAATTGTTTTTCATTGTTTTTATTGAAATTCTCTGAATCTCTGTGAAAACACAATGTTTACAGCATCTATATTAATTACAATAGGATTCCCTTTGTGGCTGAATGCAAAAGAATTCCCTTTGTAGCTGAATACAAAAGAGTTCCCTTTGTGGCGGAATACAAAGGGATTCCTTTTGTGGCGGAATACAAAAGGATTTCCTTTGTGGCTGAATACGAAAAGATTAACTTTGTGGCGGAATACGAACGGATTCCTTTTGCGGTACGATACAAAAGAATTCTCGTGACAGAAGACAAAGGAATTCCTTTTGTGGCGAAATTCAAAAGGATTTCTTTTGTTGCGGAATACAAAGGAATTCCTTTTGTGATGACATACACAAGAATTACCTCTGCTGCGGAATACAGAAGGGGGAAACCGCAATGCCTGCATCTACAACAGATCCTATGAGCACCGCGGAGACGGCGGAAGAGGGCGGAAAGCGTGGAAATCTTCACGATCAAAAGAAATGTTATGTTATTTTCATTGTTTTGTTTCTGCGAACACGCGTTTTCTCTGCTGGGAATCTAAGCGCGTGGTAGCTAGCAGCTACCTTGGGAATGCTAGCGAGCAGCCAGCATAGGAAGAGATCGGAGAGGAGATGGAGGAGATACTGCGAGTGTTATTCTACGCGCAAATCAAGCGCTAACGATTATGAGCTGTCCACATTCATTGCAACTGGATCATTCATTTCCATGCGCAGCTGTGCTTTTTTCGTTTCAAGCAGTTCCTCCTTTGCCAAATGCAATTCCATTGATAATGCAAATGTTTGACCTCCAAGCTCTATTGCATGTTCATCTTGCAAGTGCAAGTGTTGATATATTTTGAACATTGTCATTCCCACGTCAATTTGTATGCCGTCGTGGTAGGTAATCAGATCTTTGAAACGAGCCGGCACCAGTAATGCGATCATCACCGGTATGTTCCTGTACGAGTTAATCTCACTGTATATGTTGCCAGATTTTATGGGCGCGTAGCTTCTAAAGTACGCTGGTGCCACCACCAACTGTCGCTTTGCGCGCGCGTCTGCGTCCGAGCCTGCTTTTGAATAGCTTGGATTCCAAAATTCCACTTTGTAGCATGCATGAAACGTCATCATTATGCACGCTGACTCCGCTAGCCATGCCATACTTTCCCATGCGTTTGTTTTGAACTGCGCCGAGTCCTTCCACTCCTGTGTAGTCTCATCATTTCCGCTTCCCCAATGGGGGCTTCCCCAAAATACTAAACCGCATCTGTAATTCCACGCCTTTGCGAATTCGTCAAAAGGTAAAAACTGCTTGCAGCTGAACCCAGACACATTATAGAAAGGCCCTGCCGCGCCTGCGTCGCGCAAAACTTTCAAATTACATCATGCAACTTCTGTGCTTGTTCCAACCATGGTACCGTTGGGTCCAATTCCCCTACTGCGTTCACTGTTATTGGTCCAAAGCTACTGGTTGGTTTTGGCTGCTGTTCCAAATCTGTCAATATGAGTCTCTCAAAATCTCTGGCTTGCGTTCCACAATTCCATTTGTTGCCATCACTTGAATCCATTGAAGAGGCTGCGCCTAATGTTTTCACACGTAACCAACCAGCAGTTGGTTAGTCTTCTCGGCTTGTAGATTTGAGCCCGGTGGCTGCGGCCCTTTTTTTTTTTTTCTCTCTCTCTCTCTCTCTCTCTCTCTCTCTCTCCTTCTCTGTCTACCCCTCTTGTCTCTCTACTGCCACTATTACTACTACCAATACTACTACCACTACTACTACTACTACTACTACTACTACTACTACTACTACTACTACTACTACTACTACTACTACTACTACTACTACTACTACTACTACTACTACTACTACTACTACTACTACTACTACTACTACTACTACTACGACCAGTCCACTACTACTACTACCACTACTACTACTACTACTACTACTACTACTACTACTACTACTACTACTACTACTACTACTACTGTTACTACTAAGAACACCGCAGGTCCTATGAGCACCACGGAGACGGCGGAATGGAGCGCGAAGCGCAGGTGTGTATTTTTCCTCGCGATGCTCCTCTGCGGGCTATCCAAGCGCGCGGTAGCTAGCAGCTACCTTGGGTGTAGCTAGCAGCTACATTAGGAATGCTAGCGAGCAGCCAGCTTGGGGCGAGAACGAGGAGAAGGTGAGAGCAGAGATTCAACTGCTAACAACCACTTCTGGTAATTGCACGTCGCAGTATACAAGCCAAGAAATCTACCATTTAGGGCAAAGCGCTCTGCCCGCTGGGTCAAGCACAACTACGAGCACATTGGCGCCAGTCCCAGATCGGATTGAAATTTCACGCAACATATCCTTAGTCTCGCTTCCTGGGTTGCGCCATAGCCTCACGCCGTTCGGCGCCGTGTCAGGAGTGTAATTGTTCGCGTAAACAATCTCCTCAATGAGATTGTCCTCGGAGAGCACGCGCTTCTTAAGCCAGCAAAGTCTCTTCTTGTAAACAGGTGCGTCTATAGTGCCAACGGGTCCGTCTCCTAATACCATGAAAGTTTTCAAGGAAGCTCTCAGCAGGAATTCGCGCGAGTAGTTCGCTTGCTTTGCCTCTGACTCCATCCAACGAGTCGACTTCCCATCCACTCCAAAGGACCTCAGACAATGGTTAATGTTATCCAATCTGTTTTTGAATGACGACTGATATGATCTCGGCCACGTTTTTAAGCAGCCTTCTGAAATGACGCAGTGGACGTTTGCGTCGCCCTTGACTTGTTCTCCGAAGAGGCCAGCATCCAAACAGAACAGCACGTGAGATAACGCCACACCAGTGTGCAGAACAATGTTTGCCGGCAGCTTGATGCGATCGAGCACGTAACCGTTGTCAGCCGATTCCTTTTCAAT